GCGGGACCGCTGCCGCCACGAGCGGCTGCTCCGCCGCGCCTTGACCCGGGCCCAGCCCGGGCGTCGATTTCGACGCCAGGGAAAGCCCTGGCGGCGCCGCCAGCGCCAGCACGAGCGCCATGCCGCCGCCATTCGCTGCACCGCTAACCTTCGCCACCGAGTCCGCAGGCATGGAGGAGGATAGGAAAGGTAGACCGTCCGGCTTTGCTGCGCGCGTACCTTTCATCGACAAAGATCCCGCGCCGCTGCCCCCGGTGCCTCCGCTGCCGGATATCAAGGTGCAGGAGGCGGACGCGGGGAGGCTCAGGGGATGCGGCGACAACGGCGGCGGCAGCAGCAGCTGTGCGGTCGAAGGTTCCGCCGTTGTCGTGGCAGTGGTGGCAGCAGCGCTGCAGCCACTGCCTCCGCCGCCGCCGGCCTTGGCCACCTGCCCGCGCGCGCGGCCCTCGCGCGCACGCGCCTCCGCAGCGACTACCCGCGCCAAGAAGCGCATCCGCATCGCGCGCTCCGACCACCACCAGTAGCTCAACGGCACAACGGACAGTGGCAGTAGCACAGCCAGGTGCTTGCCGGCGGCGGAACGCCACGAAAAGGCGGCAGTAGTACCCAGCGGCCCGTAAGGAACCACGTCGCCCGCTGCCGCAGCGGTGCCGGCGGCGTAGCCGGCGTAGCCGCCGCCGCCAGTGCCCGCGACGCCGGGCAGCACGACGGGATCGGCCGCAGCGGCTTCGCCCAACAACGCGCGGAGCGCTCTTGCCGGACAGTTATCATGTCCGCAGGCGGAGGCGGAGGCGGCAGCCATGACGGCTCGGAGTGCCGCGTCCTGTGAGTCGATGTAACCCCCCAGGAGCGCCAGTACCACCGTCCTTACCAGGCTCACCAGCGCCATGGACTTGAAGCGGAGCTGGACAGGGCGCCAACCAGGGAGTGGGTCGGGAGTACTTCGTTTCTTCTGCTCTTGTAGGCTTTCCTTACATATATTCAAGTATTGTATATGATGTGGAGAGCGAGGAACAGGTTGCTTGGATGGGGATGGTACGAAGAAAATAGCTTGTTCAAACGTTTTCCTTACCGTTATTTCCTTACCGTTTTCACACTGTAAAGATACACATGATCAGGTTCCCAGCACGATGGCCGCGATGCAGTAACATCCCTCCTGTCCCATCTCTCTTCCCTCCCCTCACGCCCTCACGCCCTCACGCTTTCTTCACGCCCTCACGCTTTCTTCACGCGCTCGCACGCCCTCGCGACTCACCCTGATACCGCCAGCCATGAGTGCCTTCACCGCCATATCCCACACCGGTCTACGGAGCGCCTCAGCAGCAAGGTGGTAGGAGCTCTGCCTGCGCCAAACCCACGGACCGGACAACAGCAGCGTCGCGGGGATGGCGATCCCCCAGGACTGCAGCGGCGTAACGGTCAGCGCCAGGCAGCGCCAGCGCAGCCATAGGCGCCAGGCGCGACCCGTGGGTCGGCTGGGCGCGCCAGCGGCCGCCAGACCCAGCAGCCACAGCGTCACAAGCAGCATTGCGACGACGTTGAACAGGACGCCCCAGTCTCGGAGCTGTAGTGGCCGCTGGAAGGAGTAGAAAAGGACGTGCGCGAGGACGTGGCGGATCTGCGGACGAGTGGGGACGGTGGTTGCGAATGGCGTGTAATGGTGTGGGCCGCGAGGCGAGGCGTAGTAAGGTGAGGTGAGGGAGAGGGGGAGGGGGAGTTCTATTACAAGTTGTAATACCAAGAAGGGGAAAACCGCTGCCGACTTCCAAAAGGGGAGGGAGGGAGGGAGGGAAGGAGGGCATAGATGAAGGAATGGCGGCTGATTTAAAACATGTCTGTGCACGAGTACAATTTCAAACAACTACATGACCCACACGAAACGTAGAAGCATGAAGCACAACGTCCAGTTGTTATGTATGCCTAACCATGATATCATATTAACAAAGCACGAATCAAGGCATCGCCGAAGAGACATGGGAACATGTAGATGAAAAACATGGCCATAAAGCGCCATGAAGCTATAATCATTATAACGTGCAGACTACGGCCGGCCAGAACCTTGCGCTGCTCTCACGCGCTCGCGCAGCTGGTCCGGGGTGAGGAAGGACAACGCGCTTTTCATAATTCCCTCACCCTGAAAGAGCGGACCTGCGCTCCGGATGGTCCACCACAAGGATAGCTCGTCAGTACCACGCCTGCGGCTTTCTGCTCGGAGCAGCTCCAAACCGCAGGAATTGTCGACGGCGTCTGGTGAATGGATCGCAGCGCGAAGGAGATCTTGAACCCCGTCGCGTAGAAAAGGTGCATCATGAGACAATGCAAAAAATTGCTGCGCGCCAGGTAGTTGCAGAAACGGCTTTCCAGTTGTTTATCTGGAAATTCTAGAAGAAGACGGTTGTAAAAGCCGCCGCCAAAAACGATGTCGTGGTCGATATCTTGGTGCTGGTGCAGGTTATGGTGGTGCTGGCGCGGGCTGTGGCGGTTGTTGGAAGGGCAACGCAGGCTGTCTGCGGTGCTGTTGTTGACGTTACTTCTATTGCTGCTGCTGTTGCTGTTGCAAGGCGGCGCATTTGCGTGGGACGGGTCGGAACAGGACGGGCTCCGCCGCTCCCGGCGCCGCTGCATCTGAATTTGAAAATTCTCGCTTTTCCTATTCTCCGCCCTAACCCAAACTCTTGGTCCTGACCGGAAGCAACTTCGCAAGGCTCCAGCAACAAAGCTGGGATCTTCAGGGGTCCTGTTACTGATCCTTATTAGTTCGCGCTGTGCCGGCGCAGAATGTTCTGGGGAACACGATGAGCTGCGTGAATCCAGCCCCTGCAGCCTAGTTTGGCCGTGGGGGTTGCAGCTTTTGCAGCAGGAGCAGCATCCTGAAGTTGAGTTGACAAGGCGCATGAGCCGATGCACCGAGCGGCGTCTGTTGGCAGCTGGAGGGCAGCTGCAAATTTCGACGTCAAAAGTGTAGGTCATCGATCAAGCTAAGAAAACATTTGATACTTTGTGAGTTACGTCCTTAAAGGGCACAAAAAGCAAGCTGCAAATTAGCGATCAGATGGTGGCGAGGGCATAGAGTCACATTCTGACCCGGCACCCAGTAGGCTCGCGTTGGACGCAGATTCCAGAGCGCCAAGAGGGGCGCTTGCAGTACGAAGCGCAAAATTCTGTTTTCCGCTTCTATTGGCTTGGAAAGGTCGGAGGATCTCATATTTGCATCGGGCACTTATGTGTGCACTTATGTCGCTCTCTTGGACAGAACGAAGAGCTACTTTTATCGTAAAGACACACCAGCTAAGGACGCTTTCCTCCCCCAATAATTGTTGTGAAGAAAGGAAAGTTGCTCTTGGTGTAAATTACCTACTTTTGCGGATTTGCGCCAGCGCAATGCGCGCGCTTTCACACGCAAAGGCAGCACACCGACCCCGGGTCATTAGCAGCATCCTGAGGCCTCCCGCGTTCCGTTTCCTTCTTCGTAGAGGATTCGCGAGACGTACCTTCTCACATTTTTTTCCCAACTACGCGTCCGCTTTTAGTACATCTGCTATATGATGGCACGGATGTGTTGCAGGCTGTGGGTGTAATTCGCCTGCCGCCATCGCAGTCGTGTCTTTGAAGCACCGTCGTGCCACAACCTCTGCGCCCCGTTTGCCCCTTTTTCCAGTTCTACTTGTTACAGTGGAGCCCGGCCGGCTCTGTTTGTGCATCGCCCTTAACGGGCGCCCGCCGCGCAACACTGTGGGCTCTACACGGCCAAGCCATGTTAGCTTCGCTGGCTATATATAGCCGCAGCCAGCACAAACACAGGAAGTTTAAGAATGACATAGACGGTATGGATTGTCAGCCTTTTGGGAGGATGTCTGCTTGCAATGAACGCAGCAAAACGTGCTCAGAAATCCGATACCACAGCACGGATAGTCCGATAGTCATAGATAGTCCATCGGTATATATATACCAATTTACGACCCACATCCAATGCTCTTACGGCCGACTGCAGGCAGGCTACACCCCACATGAGTGCCGGAGTTTGTGTCTGCATGAATCAAAACCGCTTTTAAACCTCTCCTAAACCTGCGAGAGACGGCGTAACAAAATTGAGCCTCTTGCACGGTCAGCCAGTGAATTATATCATAAATCAAAAACTAATTTATAACAGATGCCTGCGTGCCCACTTTTTCCGACCCGTTAAGCTCCCTGGTGCGTTATTGCCTATGTAATCGTCGTTTTGGCCTTAGCATTCTGTCGCGAGGGCTCTCTCGGCTCGTTAGATCGCAAGGCACCATTGCCCATCCCCTTAGTCGACCCCATCCTTTCATCCGCAGACATCTAGCGCTGGTCTTACGGCCGGCATGCCCGCCGCCTCTGCTCCACATCTTCCCCCACCGCTTTCCCGCTGAGCCCGACACCTTATATATCCTCCCTCCCGGCATGCACCCCCCGGCTGTCCTGTCCTTGTGTTCCACTTCTAGACTAATCATTCTCTCTTGCTTCTTGCCAACTTCACTATCGATCGTACCTGATCCTGCATGGTAGCTTCACCGCCCCTGACCCTGCATCATGCAGGGTTCTTCACCCCGATTCGGGCCGTAACTTTTTTGAGATATTTTGTTTTGCCCGAAAGGAAAATTAGTACGCCCCGGAGCATTCCGAACGGATTTGGGGCCTTTTAGAGCATCTTTTCGGGGACGCCACCGAAGCCTTTTGAAGGCATCTTCGGAGAAAACCGAACGGTATTTCAGCGTAAATTTGCATGTTTTCGGGCGCAGACGGGGCCTTGAAACCGGGCTTGACGTATAAGGCCCGCTTGGTCACCAGTCAAACAACAAGTACAAATGTGCATTGCGGCTGTTTCGCAGCTGTATCGCAGACATTTTCATACATGTAAGCATATCCATATGCCACATTTTCATACATCTAAGCATATGCATAGTTAAACATGCCCGAGTCAATTGATGATGAGCGCCCAACCAAGGTGCCCCGCATCTCCCTCGGGATTCGCGGCTTCGGCAAGCTCGAACCGCCTGTTTGCCTTCGATGTCAGCGAACTTGACGTTTTGCAGAAAGAGTTTTCAGTTATGAAGTCTAAGATGGCCTTGCCGCACCTCCTGGGAGCGGGCCTGGGCTGGAATGCGTCAGTGGGTCCACTTCTTTCCACGCTTGATTCAGTTGGTGTATGTCGCTTGTGTCCTGCCCACTCAAACAGCGTGTGTTGAGCGTGGCTTTAGTGTCCACCGCATTACCAAGAACAGGCTGCATAACCAGCTGGCTGTCCCGTCCATTGATTCCCTTCTGCGTGTTGGATTACTCGGTCCAACCGTGGATATGAAATGCCAACCCCTTGTGATTTAAAGCTGCTGAGGAGTATGTTGCAAAGAACCCGGATGGGCTCCTGCACCGTCTGCCAAGGTGGGCGACTGTGTTCTGCCTGATGAGAGTGATGATGAGGGCAGTGTGGGCGGTGAAATTGCTGAGGCCTATTATCCTTCTGATAACGAGGAGGTCGATGATGAGGTGTACCCGCCTGAGGAGACGGATGATGATGTGGCAGGTGTGGTGGAAGGCGATTGATACAGAGGTGGATGAGGAACGGCGCCTCCTTGGCTTTGGGTAAAATCCTTGCTGAAATATTTCTCCCAGGAGCTATGTTCCAAAATAAAGTCAAACACCTGTTAATTCAGCCGTCCTAGCATGTAACGATAGAATCCAGCTAAATTTTACCCCGAAAACCGCTTCAGACAGTTTCGGGGTACCCGAAAACACTCTCCGGCTGACAGGAAAATTTTCGGGGAGGGCCCCGAAAGGTTATTCAGAGGGTTTCGGGCACGGCCAAAATTTTTGGGTACCCTGGTGAAGAACCCTGTTAGCCTCCCTCCTTTAATTCCTTCAAAAGCACCACCTCTCCCTCTTGTCTGGTCTCTTTCCAGCAACTGGGCCGATGTGGTGATTACGACCCTTCCTTCCACCGGTATATGGTTGTAAAACCCCTGCCGGTCTCCCCAGGTGGTGGCGGTGGTGGAGGGCTTCCACACGGGTTACACGAAGTGGACCGCCTCCGGGGGCCCAGTGGGGTGATGTCACTTGCCCACGCCGGAAGTGATGCTAGTGGCCTTCTACCCCAGTCGCATCGGCCGTGGCCGCTGGCCCACTGATCCGTCCTTGAGGTGGTGGGCCTGTTTAGCTAAAAATAGCGTCTCGAACTGTTGTTTCATAATAAATCTATAGTATTAAAGCTTTGCGTTGGCTTTGTTCCTAGGCAGATCTGACTGCTGGGCGTCAAAGACGATGACATTGTTGCGTTGCAAATCGAGCAGCTCTTGCCACCACAAGCGGATGCTTTAGAGGATTGGGTAGAAGCTATCTCACGTACTTGATGCTGCCGGGCTGTTAGGTTGGCTTCAGTTTTGCTTCCGTTTCCTTTAAAGGCTGGGCGGACGACAGATTGACCACGGGGGGTCACCACGGGACTTCTCTTAGTCATGCAGACGGCTCACAGCAGGGTGCTGGAGTAACTGTGTGGATGGATGGATGGATGGATGGATGGATGGATGGGTGCCGCTTTTGGGGCTGCACAAAAATCTTAGTTGGCAGACTAGACAATACATCCTTCACAAGTACCTGAGATCCTTCGGGTATATGCAAGTAGTGCCTCTTCGTTGTGGCACCGTATCTGTATCTTGCTCTGGGGCTATTCGTTGCTAGCAGTGTCTGTCTGCTTTCTGTGTTACTACCGGCCGGCTTCGTTATGGTGGTATTTCTCCTCCTCCTTTACCTCGCGTGTGTATGTGTTTTCATCACGTCTGTCATACCTCTCTCCTTATTGCACTGTGGCTTCTTAGGTAGTCCTGTTCGACTATAGAAATCTTTTGGTTTGTCAAGGCAGAATTGCTACTTGCTTGCTTGTACAAGCAACGGATGTGTAACAGATACATACACGCACTCATAACACCTAAGATCATGGGACAGGTCATGGGACAGGAGCACAGAGCTTGTACTCGTAGAACATGTGGCAAACATTGCAGACTTTTTTTAATTAATTCGTTGGCATTACCAACAGCTAGAAGAGAGTATTTCCACGACATCCCAGCTGGTCAGAGTATGAATCTGGGCTGTACCTTTCACCCGTCTTGAAAATCAACGAGGCTGTGCACTCCTCGCCCTAGAACCGAAAGACCGAAATTGGAGCGCTTTTAAATCGAAATCGATTGAAGTCAGTTCAGGCGGAAAAACGCGCGCTTCCCAAAATCATCATCTTCTCTCTGTGGAGGGTGGAATATCCCTGACGTGATTTACACTTACGCTCCTACACGCCGTAAGCCGGCTCCGCAGCTGTACCACTTTAGACACAAAAAGCCCAGCATCAGAACTGTAAATACAAGCAAGCCACAACTGGTTGCGGGCGACCAGGTTTGTCGCTGGTCACAGCTATATGTTCTGGTCTGGGTTGACACTACTGCAATTAGCGGTTTAAGGTCCTGGGTTCGATTCCTGGGGAGACCCCCGAATTAGTCGGGAGCGCGAGATTATGGCTAGCTGCTGAGATGTGGAGTTGAGGTCACAGTTGATGGACCAGATTCGCACGCTGGATTGGTGGCGATTGCCGAACCCTCCGTCTCTTCGGGTGTTCGGGTGAATGGATGAGGAGGGGTCCCTGAAGGCTGGATCCGCCGCCTTGGACTTACAGTTCGTATGGCGAAGTACAGTGTGGTAGTGGTGGATGGTGCTATAAGGTGATAAATGATCTAGAACTGACAATGTGATAAAGCGGCCCAGAAGCTTCCCACTCTGTAACATTACATATGTTCACATGGTGGTGGTGGTGATCCAAGTGCATGTTCATAGCCCTTCCCGTTGAACCTCAACCTCATTCACACGCTTGTATTATTTTATCAGTATGCATCCATCCATCCATCCATCCATCTGATATTTGCCCATCCAATACTCATGCACATTCCCAGACACTTCGCATCCGGCACAGCGAAATGCACAACACCGTTCAGGTGATTGACAATACTGTATCGGCATATCGTTACAGATATCGTACCGAAAAAATAAACAATCAACAAAAAAAACAAAATGACGGACTGTGCCAGGCACCTGAGGGCAACTTTTCGCGGCTGCCATAGCCACTGTGACATTTACTCTGTGGGGTAAGTTTCCTAACGACCTCTCAACCGAATCCCAAACCACCCAAACCGAATGTAACAACTCAGCAGGTTGGGTACCTAAAGCGACGCGCTGCCGCGGCAAACCCCCCACAACAAAGAAGCAATTTGCAATCCTGCTAAATTTTAGAAACCTGTACACGTCCGTGTGCGCCTCTATCTCTTCTTGCGCAGTCTTGCGCACCTACTACCCTCACTTCGCGCTCATCCCCTTGGTTGTTGGCACATCGAGTTCGTTCGTTGAATTGGACTGTTGACGGTCGACCGCTGTTCACTGCACAGTCCTCGGCCCCTCCCATCACAACACAGTCCTGGGTGTGCGAGGCGGTGATCCCCTGACACCTACCTACACACCTACGGACGTACAAACATACAAACGTACGTACCACCCCCGTCCTACACAAGATTGACCCCCCCGTTCCCCCTCCACCCCACCGCCCCTCTGTCTGTCCGACCCTTTAATGCATGCCCCTCTGTGTCAGCTGACCCCTTTCCTTTGAATACACATATGCAAACACGCATGCACGCATATCACACTACCTAAGGGGTGAACCTAACCTCTCACCACCGCGCTCTCCAGGCCTGCCTAGATCGGCGGCCCACGCGAGAGCAAGAGAGACCCCAACCCCCCAAACTCCAGCCCGCAGCCGCCTCTCCACCTAGACCCCTGTCAAGATGGGCCTTATGCGGTCCTTCTGCTCCTTGCTGAGAGAGGTTGGGAACAGCACGTCAAACTTGATCCTCAAGTTGCCCTTGCGGCCCGCATCGGGGCCCTTGCTGATGGGCATGCCCTCTCCCGCCACCACACGCTCCGACCCAGGGGTCACTACACGGTCCAGCACCACGGGCAGCCGCCTGCCGTCCAATGTGGGTCCCACGGTTATCGTACCGCCCGTGAGGGCCGTCACCAGGGGCACCTTGACCGTGGTGGCTAGGTCGTTGCCGTCGCGGGTGAAGGTGGCGTGGGGCTGCTGTCGTACAACGAAGACTAGGTCATCAGCGGGGCGGCCGGGGTGCTCGTCGCCCTTGCCGGGGTACGTGATCTGCGGGGGGGGAGGGGGGGAGGGGTTTTTGGAGGTGCGGGGGGGTTTCCCCGGGCGGGGGGAAATCATGCGGAGGAAGGACGGGGTCTTGGGCTTAACTCGTTAGGGGGCTGGATGCCCAGGTGCTGCTATACATGCACGTGTGGTGGTGGTGGTGGTGGTGGACAGCAGTTCAGTGAGATCAGGACAGACAGGACAGGACAGGGCAGGACAGGACAGGACAGGGGTCGTTTTAATAACGCCGTATATTAACGCAACATGTGGCCAATTTTCACAGCAGCGGGGGGAAGCTGCCGCACAGAGAAGTGCTGCTCTGGGTACCGTACACCCCGGGCAACAAATGTAGTGAAACAGGAGTTTAATGGGACCACCTTCACAGCTCAGAAAGGGAGTATGCTGGGAAAGTATCGGGATCGTTGACCAAGTAATACACGCGTTACGACGCGCAGCGGACTGTTACATCACGACTTTTCAGAAAAGAAAGAACCGATCGGTGGATGCACATCCCGGGTGATATACCCAGAATACTACACTACCGCCCAACCGCATTCTCCAGCTAGGATATTCACAGGGCCAGCGGCTGGACGTGTAAACAAGTAATATAGCTTACATGTATTACCTTGTATATCTCATACACACAGCGCACACTCACACACCTTGGTGCCGTCCTTCCACCCCGGCTTTATGTCGATCTGCACCTCCTCCTGCACCGGAATCATCTTGCCACTCGCACCGTCCACGATGTGGCGAGTGATCCGCAGCTTCTTAGAGGTGCCCTTGTACAGGTCCTCCAGGGATACCTGGCCAGTCAAGACAGACAGACAGACACACATACACACACACACCCACACAGACAGACAGATAGATCACAGGCAGTGTGGGCAGTGGAGGGTTGGCGAGAGGAAACCCGCGTTATCAACTGTCGTGCTTCCGCCGCTGTCCTACCCCCAACCTACCCACGCCCCCGGGCGCCGCGCTGGGTTCCGGTTCCGGTTCCGGTTCCTCCGCCTCTTTCCCCCCGACCTCATATCTCCCCCCCTACCCACCCCCACACACATACACACACCTTGAGGGGCACCTCCACCTTGGCTGGCCCCGCGGGGGCCCCCGCCCCCGGCCGGGGGCCCCCCGCCCCGGGCCCGCCGCCCGACCGTCCGAACTGATCCCCGTCGTCCATGATGTCGTCCATACCGCCCATACCGCCGCCGCCACCGAACATGCTGCCGAAGATGCCGCCCGGCATACCGCCGCCGCTGCCAAACACACGCACACGCGGGCCCCCCGGACCACCCATACCACCCATGCCACCCATGCCGCCCATGCCACCCATGCCGCCGAAGAATGACTGGAAAAGCCTGCATGTGGGTGGGTTGGTTGGTGCAGTACGGGGATGTGGTTTTGCTGGAGCGTGAATGCGTGCTGAGGTACGTGTGTGTTCTACACTTGTTCTACACTTGAGCAGCAGAAAAACATATCCCACAACCACTACCGCTACCACCGCTATCATTACCATAGCAATTGATAGAAGCAAAAACCTAGCCGCGCCACGGCTACAGCCCGACAAATACCATCATTACCACCAACATCACCACCAGCACCAGTGGTGGCGATGTATTCTCCCCCGCCCGCCAGCAGACTAGTGGGCCAGTGGGCCTGATGATGGATCCCCACCCCACCCTACCCCACCCAACACCCCACCCCACCCCGCCTCACCTCTCCGCCATGTCGCCATCGAAGTGGTAGGCGCCGCCGCCGGGGAAGCCCCCGGGGCCCCCCCCCGGGCCCCCGGCACCGCCTCCCCCGCCTCCGGGCATACCGCCCTTAAGGCCCTCCTCTCCAAACTGGTCGTACACTGACCGCTTTTGAGGGTCCGACAGAACGTCGTACGCCTCGGAAATCTCCTTGAACTTCTCCGTGGCCGCTTCCACATTGTTGGGGTTCTTGTCGGGGTGCCTGCGGAAAGAAGGGGATATAGGGGTGATGTGCCGCAAGTGTGAGTCTGTGTGTTATGTATGTATTTATGTATTTATAAATATATGTATACGCATCTTGATAGAGGATGAGGAGCTGCAGACGTCCAAGGAGGCGGAAGACGGGGCACCAGAAAAGTGGTATGCAGGGAGATCATATGATATGGTATGATATGGTATTAAATCAGGACATAGCCGTTACTGTCTAGAGGAGTAGGCTAACGCATGAGGATCAGGGGGATGGAGGCACGATGTGGTGTGGAGATTGCTCGAGTGCGTTTCCTTTTCGTCGCTTGGATCGCATGTTGGCTAACGCTGCGGCCGGTGATGTTGTGCCATCGACTTTGTGCAGTAGGGGTAGCATCCGCAGAATTTTTTGAAAAGTGCAGAATCACCAAAAATGAGTTATTTGTGCCATGAGTTATTTGTGCGTTGTGGCTCCAACGCCCTTGGACTGCCACGCCTTCCGGCACATTAACGGAATGAACGCAACCGGTGCAGCTAGAATGCATTTTATTATACGCATCAATTCACCGGAGCAAAGGAATGAATCGCGCTATGGACCCCGTTTGGGACAATGACGTTTCCCGCAACTAGACAAGATACCTTTAGCAATAGGAAAAGGCCGGGAAGAGACACATCTTACCATTTCTGTGCCAGCTTGTAGTAAGCCTGTCGTTGCAAAGCGGGAGATAGCAGCAAAAGTCTGCGTTAGAGTACTCGTGAACGACCCCCGGGGCGAGAGGTCCCAAACTCACTTTTTTTAACTGATTTTCATCAGCATCCTTAGCCACTCCCAGGATTTTGTAGTAGTCCTTGCCCATGGCTGATCACCGCACCAGCAAGACACCAGTATCCAGCTGAAGGTCAAGGACGGGTCTCTAGTGCAGCGAGCTGTCGTGAATATGGAGATTGTAAACGATCTTGAAAGCTACGATGTCACTACCTATACGTCAGGAAATCGAAAAACAGGACGCGCGCAATAACGATTGTCAAGTGAGTCGATTTATAAGTGGGTCCAAATTAACGAGCCAGATAATGCTTAGGTTTGGTCATTAAAATTTCTTGAAAGTGATAAGCTGATCAAGCTTCTGTGTTCCTGGGCTTATCTAGGTCGCCGTTTGTGTGTGAACGGCACTCGCGACGGTTCGAGAAGGTGCTCCGAGACCTCCTGGGAAAGCTCGGAACGGCACTTCGGACGGTAAATGTATTATTGATGCATGCAGATGAATTTATGTATTTTTGGTTGAATGCTTTTGCAGGAATGATCCATAAGGCGCCATTTTTAACGGTAATGGGTAGGATGGCTGAGTTCATGGGAATGTCACAAATACTGGAACGAAGCTCACAGGCTACCAAGAGCAGGCATTCGTGCATAATAACACAACAAATGGCATTGTTAATGCTCCTCCTGATACAGTTTTGAGAAATATCGCATTTTGTACGGTTGTTATAATGTTTTTTTCTTAAAAGCTCAGCGCGTCAAACATAGAAGTCCCATGTTTTAAGTATACCTCTTGTTTGCCGATGCTACCCCCCGGAACAATACCTGCGTATGTTCACCATCGGCAATAATAGCAACTCTCCCTGTGGGATAATTGCATCGAATGGCGGCAGTGGTGACACCACAGTATGTACGGGAGCTAGCTTCACTGCTCGATGTTAAAGCGGCTCATGAATGGGCGCTTGCGCTTGCCCTTGCAAGCACACCTCTGCCAGAAGGATGGACATGCATGGTGGCTGATGACGGAAGCGTTTCGTTCATTCATGATGCACGGTGCGGAGGGCGCATGAAGCAATGGCGGTGCTATCGGATTGCATGTCCGAAGCATGGGGTGCCTTTTAGTACAACTGCTTCCCGCGGTACCACGACTCCCAGGTTACGTAGGCATATTGGGGTGCTCATAACTGCGCAGCTTCGATTCCCTGCTGTTTCGCAACTTCAGCTAAGCGACCTGCGTTGCCACCATCCATGTCCCACCCCGCCTATTAAGCGCCCGCAAGGCACGCAAACGACCCACGCCCCAACCCAACAGAAAACCTCCACTCTCAAACCCCAAGTGCACGTGCGCCAAAGCACCACCTTCATGACACGCAACACTCCACAAATTCCCCCATACACATCCAGGCCAGAGTCACTTCAGCGGGAACATCCGCTGCTAGGAAGGGCCCTCCAGGCATTGGCACGGATGCGCGCAGACGACGCCGCTGGTAGCGCCGGCAACGGCGGTAGCGGCTCCGGGCCCCAGCTGCTTGGCCCCTTCGAAAACCTGGACTCCCCTGCCGTCGAGTACTTCTTCATGAACATCCAAACCGGGGAGGAGGTGCCCGAGTTCGAATCCCCTCCCAGTGCCATTATTCCGCCCCTTCAACAGGATATCCGTCAGCTCCTCACAGCAAATGAACCCTCCTCGACAGCCACCTCCTTACAAAGGGAGCCGCAGCGGGAACACCAGCAGCAGCAGCAGCAACACCAGCAGCAACACCAGCAAGGAGAGGATTCGAGGGACCTAGCGCCGCAAGGGCCACGACCCACTCTGGCGGCTCCCAGAGCCGATACGGATGCGATACAACGGCCGGATGCTGAAGCAGGCGGAATGGCAGCGGAAGCAGAAGCAGCAGCAGCGGCGGAGGCGGAAGGAGGGAAGGGGCCGCTTGGGAGTAGCGGCGGTAGCGCTGCGGCATCGTACGACCGCGCTGGTTCGGGGACTTATGCAGGCATATCGCCTGTGGCAGCGGACGCGGCGGAGGCGGCGGACGCGGCGGAGGCGGCGGAGGCGGCGGAGGCGGCGGAGGCGGCGGAGGCGGCGGAGGCGGCGGACGCGGCGGAGGCGGCGGACGCGGCGGAGGCGGCGGACGCGGCGGAGGCTCCTCTCGAAGCTTCTGAGGACCAGCGTCCAGGCGGTCTCCCGGGCTCGCGTTCGGCATCCCTGTCGGATCGCAACTCTCGGCCCATCCCGGCGACGGCGTCGTCGTCTGCATTGCGCGGCAACGGAGGCGCTGCCGGTGGCGCGGCGCTCGGATCCCCACAACGCGGCACCGGAAGCCCCCAAGCGGCGAAGCAGCCAAGCCGGGAAGGCAGCGGCAGGAGCGTTGGCAGCGGACCGGGAACGACCAACCGGCCTCTGCCGCCAGACGCTGCTGCTGCTGCTATTGCTGCTACAGCATACACTTCACGCCCCGCATCTGCTGCGTCTTCTCCCTCCTCCGCAGCGGGGGCGGCGCCGGCGGCGCTGCGCGCCACTGCCCCTGACGCTGCCGCCGTCGTCGCCCCCACCGCTAGCTCCCAGAGCTTGGGTCATACGAGCTCATTAGGGTACGGAGAAGAGGACGATGTGGTGGGTTACAGACGAGATGGCGGTACGACAGCGGGCTACGCAGGAAGCGCCAGCGAGAGTGGTGGCGGCGGCGGCGGCGGCGGGGTCGGCGGGATCGGCGGCAGAAACGGAGCTGGAGGTGACGGCGGCAGTAGCGGCGTGCACAGAAACAGCAGCGGCAGCAGCAGCAGCAGCAGTGCGGCTGGCGGCGTTGGCGGCCGCGGCAGCGGCGGCGCCGGGGAGCCGCTGAGCCGACCTGGAAGCAGCCGCAGCACGAATAACGGTCTAAGCGGAGGCGATGGTAACAACGAGCGCAGCAGCAGCAGCATCGGCGGCGGCGGCGGCGGTGTAGGGGTACGAGCTCCGGTTCCGCCGCCGTCAGGCCGGTTGACTTTCTACGGCTGGTGGTGAGTTGCCATCACTTCTTACTTTCCCCTGAGTGCATCCAAGGGGCTCCTCCCCCAACCCCCAACCCCCAACCCCAACCCCTGTATGTCTATCTGTCCTCCGGAGTCCGCAATGACCCGCCCGCCCCCTCCGTCCACCATACCCCCCACCGCTAGGGACCTCGCGCTGATCCCTAGCCTATCTTGGCCACGTCTTGCTGCTACATGAAGCAAGTTGGTATCGGTGCAGGTCCAGGAAGAATCATACATTTGTCCTCCCCTCCCCTCCTCGAGGACCTCTTTACTTCTTTACTTTCCTTGCCATCATTCTGACTTGCTCGTGGTTCATCTTCCCTCCCCTCCTCGCCTGCCTCCCTTCCGCGGACAGTCTTCCTTTGACTGCTGCACATCATGCCCTCCCTACCTCCCCTCCCTTCCCTCCCTCACCTCCCTCGACCTGCCCGCTGTCGTCCTATCCTCTTATCGTCATCATCACCATCACCACCAGTGTTTTTTTCAAGTAATATATTCCTTAAAAGGAATAAAGAGGCCATTTTGGCCTTTGGAAAAACGGAATGAATTGAGGCCGATCCGTACATTTTCATTCCTCCAGCCAAAAACGTCCATTGCTGCCAGATTGCTCCGTAGTGTGCAGAACTTAGTATTATCAATCATAGAATAAATATGAGGGGCCGTAAGAAGGTCAAGCCCGTGAGTCAACGCGGCACAGCAGAATGTATGACCGGTCCTCACATAGCCAAACACGCAAAAGAGGGGGCCGGTACATGATGAACCGGTAGAGTCCTAGTGTGCTGTGGTTTGCAGTGGCGGGTGACGGCCTGTGATTTGCTATGAGGTTGCTTGCTTTGGGCCTTTGCTTGGTCGGATTTACTTATTGCTCACAAACAGTGCCAGAACTATCTATGCATGTGCATGAAGAGTGCGCACATGAACGAAAACGCGCCAACGCAGTGCGTGCCTCTTGGTCTATGAGGGGAGTTGTAACTTATCCGGGGGGGTCTGG